GTGTTGTAGCAATAGAGAAAAACTAACACAGCACCTCAGCTTAACCATCTTCAGTGTGGTAAGGTCCATGGTCCATTGTCACAGAGAAAGCATCCAACTGACCATGTTTTAGTTGAAATTAACAAATCACCTTCCATAACGTGATCCATTCTTAACGACTGCAGCACAGTATTTCTGTGTAAAATACAGTTAAATATCCAAAAATCATCACTTCCATTTGCGGCTTTGTCACAACACCTCCCTTTACCATCGGTACCAGGCTGAAAGCGTTCAACCAGTCAACACCTACTCTGTCCACTAGACCACCAGCACCAGCAACAGCAAAAGCACTGATCGTGTCCTTAGCTGTCGGGTATCCAACACAGGCACCAACACTAACATCTCCTCTGTGATAGTCAAAGTTTCTATACCATAAATGAATATGCAACATCAGTCTCTTTTCGTTGGCAACAGAAAATGCCACACACTATATCAATCGTTAGCTAGTTCTGAAATCCTTTCAGCTGCACCTGAACAGGCTGATGTTAGTAAGATAAGATAAGATAAGATAAGATAAGATAAGAATTCCTTTATTCGTCCCACAGTGGGGAAATTTCAATGTTGCAGCGCACATATAGGTAAGAGCACACAGGGATCACACACAATATATACAAATGAGTAGTAGCTATGTTTCTTAGCTAACATAACTAGCTGTAGATGCCAGTCATGGTCCAGCATAGATGTTAGTTTGCTCAGGACCCTCCTGTCCCCCACCTGCTGCACTGTGTCCAGGGAACAGCCCAGGACTGAGCTGGACTTCCTGATGACCTTGTCCAGCTTCTTCCTGTCCCTGTCTGTGATGCTGCTGTTCCAGCAGACCACACCGTACAAGATGGCTGATGCCACCACAGAGTCATAGAAGGTCTTCAGGAGTGGCCCCTGCGGCTCCAAAAGACCTAAGCCTCCTCAGCAGGTAGAGGCGACTCTGGTCCTTCTTGAAGAGGGCGTCTGTGTTATGAGTCCAGTCCAGTTTGTGGTTCAAATGAACACCCAGGTACTTGTAAGAGTCCACTCTCTCAATTCCCTTTCCCTGGATGTTCACTGGGGCTGGAGCGGCAGAGTGACGTCTGCGGAAATCCACCACCATCTCTTGGTCTTCCCCGCGTTGATGAGGAGGTGGTTCCGCTGACACCAGTCCACAAAGTCCTGTATAACTCCTCTGTACTCTGTGTCATCGTCCTCGGAGCTGAGTCCGATGATGGCAGAGTCGTCGGAGAACTTCTGGAGGACACAACCGTCCGCAGTGTAGAGGGTAAAAGCGTGTCGTTTCTCAGGACACAGTCTGCAGCCTGTATGATAGGTTTTACAAAGTCTCCATCGCTGTGCGGCTGCGATGCTAATGCTATGTTGTTAGCACAGGTAGCTTCCCTTTACAGAGGCATTACTAACCTCTCGCTCTAGGCACAAACAGCTGTTTCCTCAGGGCCAGACACGTTTATCGTTTGTCTTCTCAATTCTCCGCTCAAATTTCTGTATTTTTGCAGAGTCTCGTAGTTTAAGATGATATTCCTTCAGCCATTTGTTGCATACACACAAAGCACCGGTGTTTCATTCACCTCCATGAGCAAATAAGAATTCGTCCACTTTTCTCGGAAAACCCGACACTCGATGTCCACTTTTTGTCTTTTTGCTGACGGTGTCAGTCACAGAGCACGCTCCACTACAGAGGCACTCGACTTGCTGCTGAGCGACGCGGTGCGTGGCGTTGCAGAGCAGATTTTAATTTAAAAAAAACAAACATTATTATTATTTTAGTTAAATGGACCGCGGGCCGGGGCGACAGTAGCTCAGTTGGTAGAGCATTGGCCTTCAGGCCTGAAGGTCGTGGGTTCAATTCCCACCTCTACACCTTCTCCACCGACTCCCACTGATGACTGCTGTCGTTGTGTCCTTGGGCAAGACACTTAACCCCACTTTGCCCAAAGCCCCCACTGAAAGATCAAGGCTATGCTTACAGTCAGAGAGCAGCCGTCCTCCTGTGGACTCACCACCTGCAGAGGGTCAGTGAGGGGCTGGTGCTATGAGACTTGGGTGGCATCTCTGATTGCCACCCCCCTGACCCAGAAATGGATTAAAGAGTAGAAAATGGATGGATGGATGAATGGATGGAGCCGCGGGCCAGCCCCGGCGATTCAAGTCACTGACATATTAGCGGAACTCGCCATATCACTCGCTATATTTGGACATTGCACAGAACCGGAAGGACCAAACAGAGTTAGAGCGGGAGCCAGACGATCAGAGTTTGTGGCACTAAAGATTCAGATTCAGATTCATTTATCTGCCATTTGCAGTAAAACCACATTGGAAAAACTGTGCAAGACTACCCCAGTGTGCACCAGACAGAGAAGACGGCATACACCAGAGCTCCTGCTAAAGGGTGGATTTAAAGAAAACCGAAGGGGTTAAGAAGAAAAAAAAGTTCAGGATGACAAAGGACACTAAAATCTCCACAAAATCCGACCTTTATGAAAGCTGTAGGTTCTCTGTCAGCTGAGGTCAAGCTGTTTTAGTTTACATTGAGTTCTATGGGGAGAATTTCTGGGTAGCCCACGTGAATTTTGTCTGGTTTAGTCTGCAGTACTGCAAGAATTCCCCGAGCACATGGGTTCTTCAGCTCCAAGCTAGTAACACCCTATCCAGTTATTATAATAGATCCATGGTCACGGGCCGTATCAAATCTCTTGGCAGGCCGGATCCGGCCCGCATAATTGACACCCCTGCACTAGAGAATACAGTATTTTATACTTTGTTTTATTTTAAATTACGACAAAGATAGAGATCTTATTCTTATGCATAGAGTTGTGCTATACTTAAAATTCACATTTCTAGTGTTGTGAGCTCATTCCTACTGTTGTTTAACTTGTGAGTTCCTTCAATATGGGATGAATAATGGATCTCTTAATCATATTTTTTATAAGTGTAAACTAGTTTACCCTTTAAAGTGGACATATCGTGTTTTCAAATAATTGATTTTTACATCTAAATCATTAATTTGTGGCCTATATGAAGAGTAACTGTAATGCCTGGGTCTGAGTCTCATTATTTGTAGCTCCGGGCCTTTCTTCTACACCTGTTCTGAGGTTCGTCTGAGAGCAACCTGTTTTGGTGCTGTCTCTTTAAATGCAAATGAGGCGCTTTTGACCACGCCCCCATCCAGGTGACACAAGTTCAACTCCACCCCGAGCGGCCATTTTTGTAGTTTCTAAGCACAGATACAATTATCTCATAGAAACTTCTCATTACATCGCAAACATGAAGCAGGCCTTCCTCATTGACTGAAAGCAAATGTTAAGTTTCATTCTTAGTCCAATCTTATTATCAACTCTTCTCTTTTTAGCTTTGGGATCAATGCGTACAGTCTATGATGCTCACACGCCGGTTTGACAGACACGTTGACAGATTTTTTAAAATTGAATATTACTTGTGCACAATTTTACAGCATTTAAAAACGTTAAGAACGTTTTTCCTTCTACAGAAGGAAAGAGACGCATGCGCCTCCGGAGCCGCAGGTTGCCGACTCCTAGTTTATACAGTATGTGGAAGCAAATTCTGTAGAGGATCAGGATATGTGCAGTTTCAACAATAAAATAAAATGCAATAGTCTGCATTACAAGAGAGTAATAAACATACAAACAGGGAGGTGGACACAGACAACACTATTGTTTGTTACAGGGATGAGAATTGGTCAAAAAAGACTGATATGCATATTGTCAGCCATTTGCTGGCTCTAAATCTGTTTAATTTGTTCACAACATATTACTTTTGGGCTCAAACATGAACTTTTAATGCAATGCAAAATGTAGGTATCAGAGCTTTATTTAGGGCGTTTAATCGCGCTTCGAGAGGAGAGGGGAGACACGGACTGTTTCCTGCAGCAGTGTATTTATTGGGTGCACAGATTACTCAAAGACACGCATGGTCCTGTGCGCGTTTATGGGGTTGGGTACATGGCCACGCGCGCTCAGCCACAACACGGTGGAGTGGCTGCGAGCGGCAGGACGCTCACAGCCTCTCGCAGCCGCTGGACGCGGAAGCTGCTCATTACAAAGCGGCCGCAGATGCCCCGGAACACTGCGGCCGCTGAGGTGGCGGAATCCCGTTCGAGTACATACAGCAGATGCCCCGCGGATACGCGCGCCCCGCTCGAACAATTCTCAACGGATTTACACTTCTCATAAACATGTGTTTTGTATGAGGCAGACAGACCGGCCCAAATATGGGCATCGGCCCTTTGGGCATTGCCCGGTACGCCCGATGGCCAGTCCTGCCCTGTTCGCTGGCATCCTTGAGCTTGGACTACAAATTAAGTGATGCACAGTAGAGGAGGGCTGGGCCGAAGTGTTTTGTTAGACGCCCATGCCCTTATATAGCAGTCTTGCTGCAAATACTGTGACGTAATAATTCTAAACACGTAATAGAGAATGGCAAAATCAGAACGGGTTGAAAAATCTTACCTAAACAGAATATGAAGTGTTCTCTGCAACCTTTTTTGCACTTCTTGAGGCTCCAACTACACAACATAAGGCATTTAAGGCACAAAAAGTGGATTTTTCATGATATGTCCCCTTTAACATTCACTCCACAAAGAAAACAATGCATTTTTTTTTTATTCACTAAGATGTAGGAGACAAATAATTAGGTTTTATGTTTTTGTTTTTTTAATCCCTATTGTTTAAAATAATATAAATAAACCTTTACCAAATGTGCAAAGCAGTTAATTATATAGTGACTCAAAAGGAAATCCCCAAAATGGTTGAGGAAACATTAGATTGCTAAAGCATAAAGAATGTTACATAATGTATCTGAAATCAAGAAAGGCTTGTAAATATGTTCACAAAGATCATTTTAAACAACAAGAACGAACACTCGTTCGTCTCGTGCTGCAGCGACTCCATCAGCTGCTCTGATGAAAATTGTTTGTCGGAGTTAGTCCTAAATACCACGACGACTATTTGAATAATCTAAGTTTTTCCCTCACCTGATGCGTGACACTCCCCTCGCTGCAGCACCGTCACCGGCGCCGCGTTCTCCGTCTTTGCCCTGGCGTTCTCGGCGCGCAGCCTGCACACGCTGGGGTACGTGCGGCCGTCGCTCCCGCACACCACGCCGTTGGACTGGCAGACGCACACAAAGCGCGCTTTCTCCTCAACTCCTCTGCGCTCACATCGCATCCCGTCTCCGCACACAGCGCCGCCCGCACCACCGCACTTTTCACCCTCGCTTGCGCCGCACACCACACAGCAGCCGCACGAGTCCTTTGCGCGGCCGTAGTAGCAGGCTTGGGGCGCGCTCGGGCATTGAGAGAGGTTGCATTGCCGCTGGCAGCTATCACGTTTAAGCAGCAAGCCAGCGTGCGCCAACGTGAGCAGTGCAAACGGCATGCAGTATGTCAACTTCATGGCTCCACGTCTGATTTTCAGTCTCTAGATGTAGGATAAGACTGCAGAGGCCTCTTTTATAGAGTTACAACTGGCTTGTCACAGCACGTCCTCTTGGTATTTATGCAAAAAGGAACGAAAGGCCATTACATTTTATTGTCAACTCTTTTTTTCAGCACGTTGAAGTTGCCCGGGGCTGAAAAACTCTCTTGGCCAACATTAGAAGTATTCAGGTTTGGTCTAATTCTTTGACAGGTAACATTACACACGACTCAGAGGGAGGAAGTTACACAGCATCCAGGTAAGGCAAGGTAGGTTTATACACATGGCAAGTCAAAGCTTTAAAAAAAAAAAAGATTAAGATCATAAATATTCACAGTGATTCAAAATGATTGTTTTTAATCTGGATTTAAACATATTGTCAGGAAGACAGTTTCACATTTTTGCAGCAATAAATCTGAAACTGTTGATATATCTAGTGCATGTTTGAAATAAATTATAAATGAAGTACGAAAGCACAGATAAACAGACTGGTTCAAACTGTTTTAACCTCAGATGATTATTATGGTTGTGGAGTGACAGCTTATACAATACAATACAATTTATTCTTGTATAGCCCTAGGTCACAACAGAAGTCATCTCAGAGGACTTAACAAAACCATTGAAATCACCAACACAGATCAGAGAATCAACAGTTAAAACACATGAAAAATATAAAGCACACACAGAAGAAAATGTCCATACATGTTGTAGAATGCTAAAGTGTCCTGATCATCACCAATCCTTTCTGTTAAAAAACCCAGTGGGAAAAAGTGAGAAACCTTGGGGAGAACTAGGGAAACTCACCGGGAGGGAGACCCATTTGAGAAAGGGATCCGCTCCTCCGGACGGACAGGCTAATGATCTAGGACCTAAGCTAGCTACAGAACGTGGACCAGTGGCCGCTGAACGTGGACAGGTCCGGTGCAGGACTGAAGCACTCCCAGGCGGGTCGGGCAGGGCAGTCCGCAGGTGTAGATGGAGGAGGCCAGGCTCAGAGATCCCGTCATTGTACCATGAAACAGACAATGGGACAACAGGTGAATAGCAATGAACAAACTACAGTCAAAATCCTAATAACGCTAAACAGGTAAAGTAGGAAGGAGGAGAGGATAGTGCTCAAGTTACCATACTTCTCCCAGCAAACTGACTCCCTATGCAGCTTGACTGACAGTCTGAGGAGTTTAGCCTTCCCTGAGTCTTACCTTCCTAGCCATATGCTAAACTAAAGAGGACTGTTTTAAACCTAGCCTTGAATAAAGAGAGCGTATCTGGAAGGAGGTGAGACAGCAGCAACCACGGCTAGGCTAGCCTAGGTTACAGCACCAAGATTCATGGATTGCACACCAGGGTCACGGGGGCAGCAGTCGGTGCAGGGACACCCAGACTTCCCTATCCACACACACTTTCTCCAGCTCGTCCGGGGGGACTAAAGGCGTTCCCAGGCCAGCTGAGAGACATAGTCCCTCCAGCGTGTCCTGGGTCTTCCCCGGGGTCTCCTCCCAGTGGGACACGCCCGGAACACTTCCCCAGGGAGGCGTCCAGGAGGCATCCTGACCAGATGTCTGAGCCACCTCAACGGGTTCCTCTCGATGTGGAGAAGCAGCGTCTCTACTCTGAGCTCCTCCCCTGTGACTGAGCTCCTCACCCAATCTCTGAGGGAGCGACCAGCCACTCTGCCGAGGAAGTTAATTTCGACCGCTTGTATCCGCGATCTCGTTCTTTCGGTCATTACCCAAAGCTCATGACCATAGGTGAGGGAGGGAACGAAGATTGACCGGTAAATCGAGAGCTTTGCCTTTCGGCTCAGCTCCCTCTTTACCACAACGGTCCGATACAGCGACCGCATCACTCCGCACGCTGCACCGATCCGCCTGTCAATCTCACGCTCCATCCTTCCCTCACTCGTGAACAAGACCCCAAAATACTTGAACTCCTCCACTTGAGGAAGAACATATCCACCCAACTGGAGAGGGCAAGGCACCTTTTTCCGGTCGAGCACCATGGCCTCGGATTTGGAGGTCACATCACATTTCCATGTTCATGTAATTTTTGCCATTACAATGGCCAGGCTCCAGGACTCAGGCTGTAGAACAAGGACTGAGGCTGCATGCAGAACTTGGGGACCAGTACACAGGTGCAGGTAAAGCAATGGCAGACTCCAGCTGAAGTCATAATGATGCCAGATAGAATGATGGACCGTAGTCTCCTGCCTGAGGGGAGTGGTTGGAATGGTCTATGTGCAGGGTGAGAGGCTTCAGCAGTGATACGACCAGCCCGGCCCAGAGCTCGGGCGACGTACAGGTCCTGCAGCGATGGGAGGCTGCGGCCGATCACCTTGTCTGCAGAGCGGCGGACAATGCGCTGTAGTCTCTGTGTGTCCCTGACTGTGGCTCCAGCGAATCACACGGTGATGGAGGAGGTGAGGATGGACTCGATGATGGCCGCGTAGAACTGCACCAACATCTGTGCAGGCAGCTTGACTTTCCTGAGCTGCCGCTGGAAGTACATCCTCTGCTGGGCCTTCTTGATGAGGGAGCTGATGGTCGGCTCCCACTTGAGGTCCTGGGTGATGGTGGTACCCAGGAAACAAAAAAACTCCACAGAGGTGATGGTGGAGTCCAACAGCGGGGGCGGGGGGACTGTGCTCTTCCTGAAGTCCACAATCATCTCCACTCTTTTGGGCGTTCAGCTCCAGGTTGTTACCACTGCACCAGGACACCAGCCGGTCCACCTCCCTCCTGTAGGCGGACTCATCGTTCTTGGAGATGAGTCCAATGAGGGTAGTGTCGTCCGCAAACTTGATGAGCTTCACGGAGTCGTGGCTGGAGGTGCAGTGATTGGTGTACAGGGAGAAGAGCAGGGGAGAAAGAACACAGCCCTGTGGGGCCCCTATATTTATAATCCTAAAGTCCGAGACATACTTCCCTAGACACATTCGCTGCTTCCTGTCTGTCAGGAAGTCAATGAATCTCCTGCATGTGCAATCGGGCACGTTGAGCTGGGAGAGCTTGTTCTGGAGCAGGGATGGGAGGAAAGGGTTGAAGGCAGAGCTGTAGTCCACAAACAGGACCCTGGCGTAGGTCCCCGTAGAGTCCAGATGATGCAAGATGGAGTGGAGGTGCAGGTTTATGGCATCGTCTACAGAAGTTGGCTCTGTAGGCGAACTGCAGGGGATCCAGGTGGGGCGGAGGTGGAGCACTTGAGATGAGAGAGGACCAGGCGCTCAAATGACTTCATGACTACAGACGTCAGTGCCACAGGTCTGTAGTAATTAAGTCCAGTAATCCGGGACTTCTTAGTGTTGGACTCCACCGGCCGCGTCTCCGTAAAACGGAATAGTGGCCAAACCGGCTGCAGCAGCGCGCAGCTCTAGCTGTGCGTTTTCAGCACCACGTGAGGCTTTGTTTTAAATAGAAGAAGAAGCGGTGTGTGATTTGCATGAGCTGTGGCTATGATCTATGCAAAGTACGGCATATTGAAGCATCGAGGACATTGCGATGGATGAGACAAAACTTATTGAAAGCAATTGGAAAAAGGGTAGAGAGAAAAGACAAAAGAACTCACACATATCCAGTGTTGTGAGATCTGTCTCTCATAAGTGCAGTAGCTCTGTGGGTAATGTGTGTGTGTGGGAGCGCGCCGCGGTGACGAGAGCGCGCCTTGGAGGTAGACGGGGACAGAGCGAGAGCAAAAAGAGCGAGGTGTATGTAAAGTTTAGCGTATTAACATTATGCAAAAAATAAATGGTAGATTTACGATCAGGAAACAATTATTATATTATATATAAATTACAAACATTTGTTAATAATCATTGTCATTAACAAACACTAATAACCAAGGACCACACCATATATCAGTATGTATAATAATGGTAAATATATTATTCCATTGTATTTTCAATGGAAAACGGACTCGACACGCGTCGACGGACATAAAAAATAGGATTGTTTCTATTTCGTCCGTCCGCGTCAGTTGCACCCTCCGTGGACGGACTGCTCCCTACGCGCGTCAGACGGACGCATGTCGTGGGCAGTGGAGCCACTTCCATCCACCCTCATGGAGATAACGGAAACGGAGATGATACGTAGTACGTTTTACGCAGCTAGTGGAGTCGGGGCCTTAGGGACAGGGGACTATGTTGGAGGATTTGAAGCAGGCCGGGATATGGCAAGACTCCAGAGATGTGTTAAAAAGGTCAGTGAAGACAGGAGATGGCTCACTTGCGCAGTGTCTCAGAGTGGCAGGTGAGACATGGTCTGGGCCGGGGCCTTTACGGGGGTTCAGCCTCGAGAAGAGTTGTTTGATGTCTTCTGAAGCTATTGTCAGGGTGGGGGCAGGGCTGATGGGTGACTCGACTGACAATTTGTGGTTTGTTTTGTTTAAAGTTGTATGTATAAGTAATAAAGGGCACTGTAAGTAGTAAGTAAGTAATGTTTATTTATACAGCGCATTTTACAGACCAAGGTCACCCAAAGCGCTTTACAATGTTCAGAGTCAGATATGGTTCCAATCATTTCACACACGGTGATGTCAGAAGCACAACGCCAAACACGCTGGACCATCAGCCCCCAATCAACACCATCCATTCACTCTCTCATTTACATTCATACCTATTGTGTTTTTAGTGGTAGGGGAAACCGGAGCACCCGGAGGAAACCTACGCAGACACGGGGAGAACATGCAAACTCCACTCAGAAAGGCCCTGTTCCGACCGGGATTCGAACCCAGGACATTCTTGCTGAAAAGCGAGAGTGCTAACCACTCAGCCACCGTGCTGTGAGTCACTATTTGGGCTGAGAGATGACAAGCTGAGTGTGTTGTTATCTCTGATCTTAACTGATAAAGACCAAAGAATGATACGTGTGTAAACTAGCTCTGTACTGCTGCTGTTTGGAGAGTTTTGCAATCATGACACGAAAGTATACTCCCCCCGCCTCATCTGTAATTTGAGGTCTTTTTTAATCCAACATAGTTCCTCA